ATTCTGGTAAAAGAACCTTGCATAGTATATGTGTCATGTATGACAACCTTAGTCTTATGCCCTACTCTCGGGGTAAGTAACATAGGATCATGAATGCAAAACTATATGATCCTCTAACAGAAAATAATGATGCTAAGTAATGTGCTCACAATATCTTTTGGCATTACCTACCTTACTCAATTGCACTGTGGAAATAGTCGTGTTAACAATAATGAACATGGAATAAAGTCTATCGTGGTCTCATTGTAGTATACCAACTAATGCACTCTGAATGTAGTCCCCCGCGGTCTCATTGTAGAGTGCCAACTAACCCACTCAAGCATCCAAACTATCATGAAATACAATATGTGTCACTCTCTATCATGACAAATGCAAAGTATGCACTACTAGCTTAGAGATTTCGTGCGCTGCAGGGGGTTTTTCAAAAAAAACCAGCCACATTTATTCCCCTTCCGTGACCTTCTCTCTCTCTCATCAAATCTCTAAGCTTTTTCTCCCAAATCTCTCTCAGATCTGAGCACGAGATCAGAGATTTTGTCTTCCCCCCGTCCTCACCCATTTCGTGGCCGCCGCAAGAGAGAAGATCCCCACGGGTCCCCTCTGACCAGCTCTGAGCGAGATCCCCCCGAGCTTTTTCTCCCAAATCTCTCTCAAATCTGAGCACGAGATCAGAGATCTCGTTTCCCCCCCGTCCTCACCCATTTCGTGGCTGCCGCGAGAGAGGAGATCCCCGCGAGTCCCCTCTGACTAGCTCTGAGCGAGATCCCCCTGTCCTCGCCCATTTCGTGGCCGCCGCGAGATGCATTCGTCCTCACCCTAAATCGAAGCCGCCGCGAGTCCCCTCTGAGCCGCCACCTTTTGAGAGCCTCCAGCTCCCCTTTCTGTGTGCGCCACCACAAGCCCGCCCTTCCCTCTCTCGAGCCGACCACGGTATCAGTAATTTCGTTTGAACCGAGTTATGATTTAGTTTGCATCATGCAGTTCTACAGTGATTTCGTTTGTTTTTAAATTCATTTGCATCACCCATGCTATCGTTTTGAAATTGGATATCAAAATTTGATTGCATTCTTGAGACTAAATTGTTGTCCTGGAATCGAAAGAAAATTAGATGTAATTCCAAATATTTATGAGTCCATCCAAACGAGTACAGGAAAAAAATGAAACAAAGACTCGGTGGAGACCAAAAATTGACAATATAAATAGACTTATCATACTAATCAAGATACTTCATTTCATGGCCGACTTTATATTACAAAAACTACCAATATTTTCTGTTAACTGCTGGCTGTGAAGAAACAAATTAAAGCATGAAAGATGTAATTAACATATTACATTATTCTTGTGTAATTATTGCTATTTTTGGTTATCTATGTAGATTTGGATTGTTTGACCCGTGTTTATATATATATAATTATGATCATGACCAATATTTTCTGTATCAATCTTTAATTTTTCACCATTACATCCTTAGTTTTGAAGCAACATTGAACATAATGTTTGGAATTGGTTTTCTTCTTTATAGGAGTTCGGAATGGAGGAAACAAATTCAACTAGTGTAGAGTTCGGAATGGAGAAAACAAATTCAACTAGTGTAAATACTCCTAAACCACTTATGGGAATGAAGTTAATAGTTATGAAGAAGCTTATAACTATTATAACTTATATGCATTGTTGATGGGTTTTGGAATAAGAAAGAGCACGGTGAATTACTCTCGCAAGACTAGAGAAGTGGTAGACAGAAAATTTGTTTGTGATAAGGAGGGCTATAAATCTAATAAAGACAAGATGGAGATTCATCTTCGGCGAGAGACCAGGGTAGGATGTAAAGCAATGATGCGAGTAAAAATATTGGAGGACAAATTGTGGGAGGTCACAGGGTTTGTTGAAGAACATACAAATCATGTGTTGAGTAGTCCAGACAAAGCAAAAATGCACAAATCACATCAACAATTCCATAAAACCCAATGATGTAAAAAAACTTATTGATAGTCTGCGAGAAGAAACTATGCCTCCTTCCACTATTTCTCACGTCATCAATGCAACTAATGGAAGAGAAGGTGAATTAGTGACATCACAACAATGCATTGATCATATCAGAACCCAAAGAGTCAACAATATTGGTCATGAATGCATATCTATCATTCGACATTTTTAGAGTGCGACAGCGAATAATCCAGAATTTTATTTTGCAATAGAAGTAGATAGTAGTGGACAAATGAGGAGTGTTTTCTGGGCCGATGGAAGATCAAGAGCATCTTATTTGAAATTCAGTGATGTTATTGTGTTTGATGTGACATACAGAACTAATAAGTTCAGTCTTCCATTTGCTCCATTTACTGGTGTAAATCAACATAGGCAGTCCACTTTACTTGGTTGTGCATTATTAGCCGATGAACAAGAAGATACCTTTGTTTGGTTATTTAAAGAATAGCTGAAATGCATGCATGACATTGAACCAGGTGCTATTATAACAGATCAGGATAGAGCAATGTGTAATGCTATTCACTCAGTGTTTCCAACGACAAGACACCGTTATTGCTATTGGCACATGCAAAACATATTATTGATCATTTGCCTACTTTTGTATCTCGTTATGGTAAACAGTTTCAAAGGTATTGGGGCTTGTGGTGCAATAGTTCTTCAATTGAACATTGTGAAGGATATTGGGTTGAGATGAAAGAGAAGTTTGATATAAATGAAGAAGGGGAGGAATGGTTGCAAATAGTTTACAACTGCAGAGAACACTGGGTGTCGTGTTATCTGAAGGATACTTTTTTTGCTGGAATGAGATCGAGCCAAAGGAGTGAAAGTATTAATGCATTTTTTGATGGGTATGTTAACTCACAGACTCAATTACACGAGTTTGTGACACAATATGAAAAAGCAGTAACTCATCGTCGCTTAAGTGAAGCCCATGAAGATTTTAAGAGTCTGAACACAAAGCCGGTCATGCTCCTATTTGCCTCTTTGTTTTGATGATGTTTAACAAATAATTTACGACTAATATTGTTTGTCTAGTGTTTGTGTTTTTGTATTTATTCTAGGCAAACAACGTGTTGGAGGATGGATGGAATAGCGCTTCAACGACAATATCAAATGGAGGTTGGCGGAATTATGGAGTGAAGCTTATGCAATTCAAGATCAAAGTTCAGCTTCATCCGCATAGTGTACCAAGTCAAGCTTATTGAAGATCAAGATTGCTTGGGTATATTAAGTTTAGTATATATATATATATATATGTTTTTGGGTTTCCATGTTTATAAATATGAGATTACATATTTGTGTTTTAGAAAATATTGCATAGAATATGCATATTTGTGAAAATATTATGTTTCTAGTTTATACACTTTATAACAACTTTTTACATCTTTTATTAAGTCTATAAGAACGTTTGAATATGTTTCAAAGTTGTGTTTATGTCAAAACATCAAATTTCATGTATATCAACTTTTCATGTTTTGGACTATTTTGTAAAATGATGATATTTTTCATTTGGGAAATTCTTTTTGTAAACCAGTCATTGTAGCATGTTTATTATCATGTCTACAATCATTCCCCAAAGTTTTACATTTTTTGGAATTTATTTGATATTTTTAAACAGTGTTTTAAAATTAGAAAAACAGTTTTCAGAACTTCATTTTCATATATCAGTTCACGGTCGACCGCGCCTGAGTCTTTTGCATAGTGGGCAGCAGAAACTTTTGTGATCGACCGCCACGTTTGACCGTCAGCTAAAAATTTCTCACGGTCGACCGTCGAACTCTCTGGAGTTTTCTGTTGTTTTTTTTGTTGCTCGCGGTCGACCACCACGGTCGGACGCCGAACAAATCATTGCTTTCTAACGGCTAGTTTCCAGAGCCGTTGCTGAGTGGTTTTTTGGTCTTTTTCCCGAACAAATCATTGCTTTCTAACGGCTAGTTTCCAGAGCCGTTGCTGAGTGGTTTTTTGGTCTTTTTCATGGATTTCTCTTGGCTTTGGGGTTTCTATAAATACCCCCTCTTTCCTCAGTTCTATCAAGCATCTAAGAATGTTTTAAACAAGTTTTTAAACAAGGATCTAAGTGTGTTTTTAGTGTTTGTTTGGTTTGAAGATTGTTTTCACAAGTGGAGGAGATCATCTTCTTGTTTGGGCTCCAATCTCCATCTCTCCATCTTGTCATCTATTGGAGAAGTTTTCTAAACTCTATCTAGGTTTACATTTGCTTAGTTATTTGATTATCATTCTTTGAAGCTAGTTTTTATATTGAGTTTAGATTTGATTATATTATCTCATTGTTACACATACCCACTTGAGCTTATTGTATTTGCGTACATAGTATATTAGGCTTGTGAGAGTTTGTAACATTGAGTTGTGCTTAATTGTGTTCTCATCTATTGTAGAGAACAAATTTATATTTGTTAAATTGTGAGTGGTGTAAGGTTTTCGGTGAGCTTAAAAACCGTGTGTGTTGTGGAGTTTTCGGTGAACTATAAAACCGAGTGTGAGGAGTGAACGTTGATCGGTGAGCGTTGAAAACCGACATTATGAGGTGTATACGTTATTCGGGTGAGCATAGAAAACCCGGTTGTGATAGTGGATTTCTCCCCGGGAGAGGGGAGCGGAGACGTAGGACGGAAGGTCCGAACTCCGTGATCATATCGTGTGTTTGAGTTTGATTTGGCGCTCTTTATCTTATGTTTATATTTCTTGTCGACATTGTCCATAGCTCATTATTTATATGATCCACTATCTAGTTCATATTGTTTACCCCTTGTGTTAGTTTCATAACCTTGCATATATCATATATTGCTTATATCTCTTTGCTAGGATATTTCTTGTTGTTCATATTGCTTATCCTAGCTCATATAACTTGCTGTATTTCATACTTGCTAGGATAACTTGTTAATTAGTTTTAATTGGTATTTAAATCGAATTAGATTAGCATAAGACCCTAATCATCCCCCCCCCC